TGTTCCCTCCATAGCCATGTGGCCTATAGGCCACATGGCCCATGGCCATGGGGATCCTAAACTCAATGGACGGATGAACTGCAGCTGGGAACACAAGCTAAACTAGCCCAATGCTGGATTGGATTATGCAAATATGGAACGGCTTTAATCCTAGCCCTGCTAAAGACACAGCTGGACTTCTTCCTTGGCAGGACAAGGGGAAATGGAGCCTTGGAAACTCAGGGATGTAATTTCATGCAAATAAATGCCACTCATTCTCCTGTGCAAGTCTCAGAAAACTCCTTTTCTTGTGACATCGCAAGAACCCCACTTTCACGGGCAACTGTTGGGGACACAGAAAGCTCCCCACTGGCAACAGAAATACATTTTCTTATTGAGAAACATAGTTCTTAGAGTGAACTCCATGTCTGTAAATGAGGAGAGAACTACCAGTATATTTTGGCTAATAATCAGCTTTGTGTAAAGCATTTCAAACCACTTATATCAAGGTTAGAAATTAGAACTCCTCAGTCATTCCGCCTTTAAAATACAAAACTATGGAGAATTCCAGACTTTAATCTAGAATTTTAAACTTTAAATAGATTTTAGACTTTAATCCTTTGATTCCTTTTCACAGAGGACAAATTAATGGCTTTTCATAAAAATAATTTGTTCAGCTGGATATTAAATTTATTTTAATTTCTTAAGGAATTTCTGCTTTAAAAAGAATGGGATATAGACATAAGTTCTTCAGTCAGTAACTGGGCTACCTTTGTAACTGAATAACTGATGGAATGATGACAGATGACAAGCAGCCTCTTCCTACTTACTTAAGAATCTCTAGCTTCTACACAAGAACATTATATAACCACAGAAATCTACACCTACAAACTCAGAAATTCAGAATACTTTTATTTTGCCCTAGCCGATTTGGCTCAGTGGATAGAGTGTCAGCCTGCTGACTGAAGGGTCCCAGGTTCAATTCTGGTCAAGGGCACATGCCTGGGTGGTAGGCCCGATCCCCAGTAGGGGGCGTGCAGGATGCAGCCAATCAATGATTCTCTCTCTTCACTGATGTTCCTATCTCTCTCATCCTCTCCCTTCCTCTCTGAAATCAATAAAAATATATTTAAAAAATTTTTTTAATACTTTTATTTTTTAAATACTTCTTAAATGCCTTTAGAAACAATTACGCACTACTTTGTATTTTATTGTTATGAGAAGTTAAAAAACCCAAAGAACTTAAAATGCATATTATAAAAACCAATCCCACTTTAACATTCAGCTTTAACATCTGGATTGAATCTACTACTAGAGTCTGTCAGCTGAAGGCATAAGAAACAAGACTTAATTTTAGAAGATAATCTAGAAAATAAAGACAATAAATAATAATAAAAAAGATAATACCATAAAGTAAAGACCATATCTATACTGTCAAAATACAGCAAACACTTCAGAAAACATTCTATTTAGTTTTGGTCTCATCCAATTATAAAAGAGATTTTTGTTGCAAGTATTGTGCCAGATGCATAGAAAATGTAAACAAAGTCTAATAATAAGATAATGCATTGACTAAGGATTCTCACATCAACAAACTGAGTGTCTTTCTGTGGCAAGAACATTTACTCCACTCCCTTGTGGGTATTTGCTTAAAGGGTTATTTAGTTTATTTGC